CCAATAGAACTATATGGTGAAAAAGGAGGACAGTTAGTAACTCGTAACATTTTCTCCTCCTTTTTCACCATAATATTATTATACTTCAGCAATAAGATTACACATAAAAATATTATGAAAGGCAATGTTATGGCCGGAACAACTAAAAACTGCTCCCAGCGTGCCTGAAGTACCTGATTACTATCACACCAAGACTGCAAGAGTATTACGGGAGTATATGGGAGTATATGGGAGTATATGGGAGTATTATGGGAGTACTGGCATGTTGGGATTCTGCTCCTAGTCCTACCTTAGTGTCAGGTGCAATGGCCGAGTGTTGCGGTGCCCGTAACTGCCCCAGAACAACTCGCCGCTGGTGCTACCAAGTACACTGAGTGCCAGGAGAATGTTCCGAGGCCGACAGCAGCTGCAGCAGCAGCGACCATGTCACCGCTCACGGTCGGACAATTTGAGCTATCCCCTATCTTTTCTCTTTCTCCGCACTCGCATTCCCTGCCGTTGTATCGATTCTAGCACTGTGGGGTGTAGCTACTTGGTCTGGGTTCGTAGCAGCCTGCGGACTACTCGACACTGGCACAATATGAACGGAGTGTCTACAAGAATTAATAATAATACCGTTCGGACAACCGCTGAACTGCACTGCTTCTGTTTTTCGCTACCGACCGTTCCTACTCCTAGTACCCCCAGTAGGCACTGCTGCTAGTGCTCCTAGTAGATCTACTGGTGGTGATAACGGCTAACGCTGCTGTTGTTTTCGCGGCTGCACTGCAACTACTGTAGACTGGTAGACGACCATGTTCGCACCACCGCCGGCACCGGCGACACTGAAGAGCGGAGGAGGTAGAGGCTCGTTTGAAAATACAGTCATGCAGTTGAAAGCCCGACCCAGGCCCAGGTCGATCGATCGTCTTGGTCACTCTGCTTTTTTTAGCGCCTCTCATGACTCGTCATGTTGCTGACTCGACTGTGTGATCACAGAGGTACATGTAGCGACTACGTAAGCACATCCGAATGATGCAATGGCCGTATCGGATGTCGACCGCCGTCCGGGTATGCCCGCAAAGATCGCAAGCAGAAATAAAACACTATGCATCGTCGTTCACACTAGTCTATACGTGAGGCGAAGCGTGCCTGAGTCAGCGTGACCAAGTGTATTGGTGGCAAGACCGGGACTCTACCAACCTCCTTCGTCAGTGCCCCGGGGGCTTTGGCTGAGGCGGTGCCGCTTGCGGTCCCAGTCCCATTGCCTCCTCCGGATCCTCCGCCGTCTGTTCTTGCGGCGGTGGAGCTTGCCAGTGGCAGGCCACGAACAACACCAACTCAAAAGGTGCTCTTGATTTCGGGAGGTGGGTGAGTACCAATGCGATATATGCTCGCGTCAGCTACCCGGCATCAACTACGGTCAAAAACTGGGAACAGACATGGGCAAGCTCTGACAGCACTGTCTCCATGTGCGTTGAATAAAACTCCCCCCCCCCCCCCGTGGCTTGGCCAATTGAATGCTTCTTGCAGAGTTTCCAACATTCTGTCGCGCACCTGTCAACTGTTGACCTGTATAGCACATGTTGCAGTGCAGCAGCTACTTCGAATTGTCACTCTTTGACTTTTCGAGTTACGTTTTTCTGAAGAGGTGGCTTATTGGCCTCTTCAGAAAACAAAACTCCTCGAAACTCCACAACCTCATCCGAAGGGAGACGTGAATTAGTTCCGAAGAGTTTGGAATAGCTACGTCGAGATGGTCGATCTGATCTGACGTCATTGTCGCCATGACAATTCCACTGAAAAATTCTGAAAAACTCTAAAAAAATTCATGATAGAAAAGAGAAAGACCAAGGAACTACAAGTTACGGTATACTGTCCACTAACACCACCAGTTACTAAACAATCAGCTCATATAGCGTAACTTGCAGTTCCTTGGTCTTTCTCTTTTGTATAAATTAAACCTTGGCTCTCCATCCGAGTACATTATTGATAGAAACCGTTCCGGGACACTTCAACACATTTCTTTTAAAAATGTGTACGCAAAGTTGATGAAGACAATTCGAACGCCCCGCTTAGTCATCAAGCATCTTATTCTACAAGTCACGAGTAACCATGGTAGCTTTGTATTATTATGCTAGTGCGTAGTGGCCTGTCAGTTTTGTGCATAGCTATCGCACTTTCTGACCGCTTATTATCTTATCACAAGGAAACGTTCTTGGAAACGTGCATCTCTGTGCGTTTTTGCCGGCGTTTGCACCATGATGGTTTGTGGTTACCTTGTAAAAAAACAAAAACAAAAAAACATTACAGCTACCTCGCAGTTGCATGTGTGTACTGCAGTGAAACCTGTCTAAAACGACCACCGCTCAAGGGACCTTCAAAATGTGGTCTCTGTTACCAGGTGGTCTCCTCATCCAGGGTCATTTGACTGGAAATAGCATCCCTCGGTCCTGGTTTCTATGGTCTTCTAGGACAGGTGGTCGCCTTATTGGAGTGGTCGCCTTATTGGAGTGGTCGCCTTATTGGAGTGGTCGCCTTGACAGGTTTTTTACTGTATAGTCATGCGTGTCCATTTCAAACTGGTCATAGCTTGTCGATAGAGAAACGGCTTTGCAACACAAGAACCAGGGACGTCGGAAGGTATTTTAGTGTGGTACGGTCAGCCATCTGAAGTACAATTTACTCGCGGGGAGGGATGGCCGAGGTGAAAATTTAGCCCAAGTCAGTGCATTTTATCGGTTTTTTCTCTCTTTTTTCTACAAAATCCACATATTTCCAGACACTGGGCTGAATAATGGAGTGTGGTGGTGGGGCCGGTTCACAGGGTACTTTTGGGGCAAATAGTGGTGCGGTCAATACCGTGGTGACCGTGCCGTGTGCGACGCCCCTGATTCTGAACCAATACCCGTTATCTCTACTGCAAAGACGTGTCTGTCATTTCGAATAGCATACATAGGTAGTTACCAAGCATAGCCAAGACTCCGAGCTGGTAGCTCTTTCGTTTCGTATCGGTGGGTGGGTGCATGCGCGCGCGCGCGCGTGTGTGTGTGTGTGTGTACGTGTGGGTGTGTGTGTGTGTACGTGTGCGTGTATGTGTGTGTGTGTATGTGTGTACATGTGTGTGTGTGTGTGTGTGTGCGTGCGTGCGTGTGTGTGTGTGCATGGGTGTGTGTGTGCGTGCGTGCGTGTGTCCCATATGGTGCAGTGGTATGTGCAGTCGATTTCCAATCGAGAGGTTGTGGGTTCAATTCCCGACGATTATGGTCGCACACGTCTTTCTTCTCTTTCTCGGACTCTTCCTGACTTTTCTTTCATTCTCCTGGGTGGTTACCAACAGCCAGTGTATGCCGGAGTATGTGGTGTGGTGTGTGTGTAGAAAAAGAATAAAAAATGGAAAAATGAAAAATAGGGATTCACTGGCCAGAAAAAGTCACTTCAATCAGCTGTGTGGTGGATACCAGGCTACAAATAGTGGCGGTCAATTCATCAGCCTTGCAAGCTGTTGAATGGTGTAATCCCAGCACACGGTGCTATGTCTAACATAGCTGTTCGCTATCATCGCTTCCGCGATGGGCAGGTCTGGGGGGGGGGGGGGGGGGGTGCGTGCGTGTGTGTGTGTGTGTGTGTGTCTTTCAACCAAGTGCCTACTGCTGGATAGCAACGGCAGAACACCATACCTGCCAACCGTTGCAAACCTGAGATCGGAACAATCACATAGCATTACCAGTACTGGTCCCCAGGTATGGGAATCTACACAAAAGTAGCTGTGAGGCATGCAACAAATGCACTTTTGGGTGCCTAGTACCACCCTCGATATCGGGACGCTCCTGCCCAAATCGGGCTGGTTGGCAGGTACGCAACACATGGTTTTGCTGGTCCCTAGCCATGCGGCCAGGATAGCATGGCATTATTCAAACTGATTTTCAAGGTTTTCGCTACCGCATGGGTACGAGAAAGGGGCCTTCGAACTCATCAGCACTGCACTAGGGTATACGAGTATGGCATCGAGGGAAGGGAAGTTAGGCAACCTATGAAAGCGTATTCAAATCACTATAAATCCTTCAAATTCATAAAAAATCTAAATCACAGCTGGAGGACAACAAATATCACACTGCTGCTGCTGCTGCTGCTCGTGCGTTTGCAATGAATATGATAAGTTAGAGAACTCAGATGGTAAGCCAAGGAAATATTGTAACATGAAAAATGTTATGAGAAAGATTTTTGGTCTCTGTGGTTCTGCCCCGTGTGGAAAAAATGTGCATATTAAACTCGCATAACTTGTGCCCACGCCGGCTTTTCCATGTTACAATAAGTTAGAGAAGCGCAGAAAAAGAATAGAGGAGCGAGGTGGAAATAGCTGCAATCCTCAACACCGAGTTAATCCTGTCTCCTGGAGAATTACCAAATTGATATCATGATTATTACTGGTATAGTATAACATGTCATTTTAGGTGTATTTAAATTTCGGTACCAGGGGCCTGTCAGGTTTCAGGTGTGGTATAGAATTAGGTGACCAGCCTACCCTTCACATACAGTGCATACTCTAGTGCCTTTTATGTGTAATCTTAGGTGCCTGGATTCTCTACGGAAATTACCGAAATTAAAATTACACCGAAAATAACGTGACATAGAGTATTGGCGTCTCGCATTGCGTGATGCGGAGATGCATACCCGCTCAAGCAGACGCACAGCGTACGCACACAGGTAGAAACCTCAATGGCCTAGCACGTCCTTCCGTCAGCGTTGCAAGGCCGTCACAAAGACGATATTGTCACTCCCATCTCTGAGATAGTCGGGGATGAAGGCGTTCTCTACAACACAACAACAAAATACAAAAGATAGAATGTACTCAATCTGCGGACAGAACTGTTTCTTCCTTTGTGGACTCATCAGCGCAGCACAGAGGAAATGAGGCAGAACCTTATAGCAATGAAAACTAAAATTTCCAAAGCCAGGTTTAAATCAGGCCCGAACGTACCTTGCCCGAGTGCTCAAACTGACAAGTCAGTGAGCTCTGCATAACGCACACAGCAAAGGCACTACTCCACACAAGAGTGCTCATATAGGTATAATGTAGATAGGCGTCCCGGAGAAAGAAGTTTTGACAAAAAAAACTTTAAAACACTGTGAGATCAGACTCGGGTGCAAAGCCAAGGACTAGGCTTATAATTGTTAGTGTTGGACACAAAACGCATAACTTGTAAACCTTTGGTCCTCTCTTTTTAACGCTGCAAAGACATTACAAAATATAAAGAGGAAGTCAATCTACCGTATTATCTCTAATATAAGCACGGTTCTTTATTTTTTCAATGTACCTCCGCCCCGTGCTATTAATGGAGACGTTCCTTTATTGGAGACTGTTCCATTATTATTTCAACCTCATTTCAGAGGCATGTTGCCATGCCAAATTCATGTATGACACACACATTTCAGGGTTTTTTTCGCCGGTACAGATAATGACTTTACACAGTGTGCTTATAATGGAGACTGAGCACTTTATTTTTTGAATGCCGCCCCAAGGTGTTCTATTATTGGAGACGTGCTATTATTGGAGACTGTGCTTATATTAGAGATAATACGGTATAGAAAAGAAAAAAGGACCAAGGAACTACAAGTTACGCTATAATGTCCACTAACACCACCAGTTACTAAAAATCAGCTGATGCGATAACATTACACGACACTGACCGACGTTTTCTTTTCTATAGACCTTATTTGATAAACGTCACAATCACGTGAACCGGGGTCCCGGGAACCAGGGAGTGGCAAGAGACCTGCACTCAGTGCACAGTGGACTCGGCGTGGGAACATAGGAGTAGATAAATACCGGTATTTTACTACTCCCTTGTACGAACTGAGCCTTTCTTGCCACTCGTTTCATGCACGCGTGCCCCAGCTTACGACAAATCCCTGGAGGTGAGTCCAAAAATCACGTTATCGAATAAGGTCTATAAATTCATCCTTGGCTCTCCATCCGAGTCCATTCTAGGAAGTCAATCTGTTGAAAGTTATGAAATTTCTTCGCTAGACTAAATTCCGTCAGGGCCGTGATGCCTCATGTCAAGAACTACATACGCTCCCAAGAGTATACAACTCTCTGGATACTGTTCTCTATGGGGTCCGCCGTGTACGAGAAATAGGGGCGGGTGTCTCTGTCGCTGAGCATACACAGACGGCAAAGAGACATCGATTTTAGAACGGCCACCAAGAGAACAAGCTGACTCTACATGTATTGATACAGTGCAGGGGCGTTGGACACGTCGCGGTCACTACGATATGGACCGCATCACTCTTTGTCCCAGGTACACCGTGAATCACTCTTTGTCCCAGGTACACCGTGAATCACTCTTTGTCCCAGGTACACCGTGAATCACTCTTTGTCCCAGGTACACCGTGAATCAACAAAAAGCACTCATCTAGGCTCATGAAATGTTTCAGAGGAGCCCCCCCACCCCCCCCCCCCCACCCCTAGAAAACTGTACTTCAGGTGGCTGACCGCACCGCCCTAAAATACCTTCGGACGCCCCTCCCCTGCAAGAGGTCTTGTCGAGAGTAGACTGGAAAACCTGTCAAGGCGACCACTTGGATAAGGTGACCACCTGTCCCAGAAGACCACAGAAACCAGGACCAAGGGATGCTATTTCCTGGATAAGGAGACCACCTGGTAACGGAGACCACATTTTGAAGGTCCCTTGAGCGGTCGTCTTAGACAGGTTTCACTGTACGCCAGTGTCTTACCGCAGATGGTCCATCGTGTACTGGTGATGCCGCACAGATTATATCCTGGGTGTACCGCACGGCATCGTGAACCGTTACAAACAGACGTTCACTGCCAATGTTCTCAATGAAGCCACCGTCATCCAACATTTGCCTCACACGATCTAGAAGCATTCGGGGAGAGAGAAAGTAAGAGAGAGAGAGAGAGAGAGAGAGAGAAGAGAAGGGAGAGAGAGGAGAGAGAGGGAGAGAGAGAGGAGAGAGAGGAGAGAGAGAGAGAGAGAGAGAGAGAGAGAGGAGA